GGTGGGCGGATCACTTGAGGTCGGGAGTTTAAGACCAGCCTGGCCAACATGACGAAGCCCCATCTCTACTAAAATTACAAAAATTAGCTGGGCGTGGTGGCGTGTTCCTGTAGTCCCAGCTGCTCGGGAGGCTGAGGAAGGAGAATCACTTGAACCTGGGAGATGGAGGTTGCAGTTAGTCTGTGCCACTGCACTCTAACCTGGGTGACAAAGTGAGACTCTGTTTCAATTTAAAAATATATATATATTTAAATATATTTAAAATCAGTACTAGCTATGAATATTACAAATAGATACGCCCTTTGGCTTAATAATGCCACCTCTAATAATTTATCTACAAATATGCATGCATATATATGAAACTATATCTGTTCAAAAAAAATTTTTTTTTCTTTTTTTTTTTTTGAGATGGAGTCTTGTACTGTCACCCAGGCTGGAGTGCAGTGGCACAATCTCAGTTCACTGCAGTGTTGGCCTCCTGGGTTCAAGCAATTCTCCTGCCTCAGCCTCCCGAGTGGCTGGGACTGTAGGTGCACACTACCACGCCTGGCTAATTTTTTTGTATTTTCAGTAGAGATGGGGTTTCCCCGTGTTGGCCAGGCTGGTCTCAAACTCATGGCCTCAAGTGATCCACCTACCTCAGTCTCCCAAAGTGCTGGGATTATAGGCGTGAGCCACAACACCTGGCCTGTTCAAAATTTTTCATTGCTGCATTTTTTTTAATGTATAAAGCAAAAGACTGGGAATAACCTAAATGTCTATCAGTGAAGGAACTGATTAAATAAATTAGGGTATATCCATAAGGTGAAAAACAATGGTAACATTTTTTAAAGTGAGGAAATACTTTCTATACTGATACAGAATCTTCATTTTGTTTAATGAAAAAAGCTAGGCGTAGTAGTACATATAGGATGTATAGTACTAACTTGTATATGTATATCCCTGAAGTACCTTATTAAAGATCGGTCGGCTAAAGAACAGAAGTATGATATTGTACTTTGTGAATTTTGAGCCATCAGTCAAGAATACTTTTTTTTTTTTTTTTGATACAAGGTCTCGCTCTATCTCCCAGGCTGGAGTACAGTGGCATTATCTTGGCTCACTGCAACCTCTGCCTCCCCGGTTCAAGCAGTCCTCCAACCTCAGCCTCCCTAGTAGCTGGGACTATGGGCACGTGCCACCACACCTGGCTCATTTTTGTGTTTTCAGTAGAGATGGGACTTCACCATGTTGCCCAGGCTGGTCTGAAACTCCTGGGCTCAAGCAATCCACCCACCTCAGCCTCCCAAAGTGCTAGGATTACAGGTGTGAGCCACCACGCCCGGTCAAAAATAAATAAAATTTTAAAAGGTGAAAGGAAACCACTTACTGAAATTTTATTTTTATAACTCTTCTTTTTTCTTTTTCTGCTAAATTGAGCTAAATAACATGTATTATTACCTCACATACCGTTTTTTTGTAGTGAGAACACTTAAAATCTACTCTCTTAGCAGTTTTCAGGAGTACAATACATTATTAACTACAGTCACCATTTTGTACAAGAGATCACTTGAACTTTTTTATATTTTTATAATTCTTGAAAGAGAATTGAGTATCATTTGTAGTATCAGAATTGCAAGCTTTTCAAAAATAAGAGGTTGAAAACGTGATTCTTTTTCCTCTTTATCTCTCTTATACCCATAGGGAATGTGCAACAATCAGTTAACCGCAAACAGAGCTGGAAAGGTTCTAAAGAATCCTTAGTTCCTCAGAGGCATGGCCCACCACTAGGAGAAAGTGTGGCCTATCATTCTGAGAGTCCCAACTCACAGACAGATGTAGGAAGACCTTTGTCTGGATCTGGTATAACAGCATTTGCTCAAGCTCACCCCAGCAACGGACAGAGAGTGAACCCCCCACCTCCACCTCAAGTAAGGAGTGTTACTCCTCCACCACCTCCAAGAGGCCAGACTCCCCCTCCAAGAGGTACAACTCCACCTCCCCCTTCATGGGAACCAAACTCTCAAACAAAACGCTATTCTGGAAACATGGAATACGTAATCTCCCGAATCTCTCCTGTCCCACCTGGGGCATGGCAAGAGGGCTATCCTCCACCACCTCTCAATACTTCCCCCATGAATCCTTCTAATCAGGGACAGAGAGGCATTAGTTCTGTTCCTGTTGGCAGACAACCAATCATCATGCAGAGTTCTAGCAAATTTAACTTTCCATCAGGGAGACCTGGAATGCAGAATGGTACTGGACAAACTGATTTCATGATACACCAAAATGTTGTCCCTGCTGGCACTGTGAATCGGCAGCCACCACCACCATATCCTCTGACCGCAACTAATGGACAAAGCCCTTCTGCTTTACAAACAGGGGGATCTGCTGCTCCTTCGTCATATACAAATGGAAATATTCCTCAGTCTATGATGGTGCCAAACAGAAATAGTCATAACATGGAACTGTATAACATTAATGTACCTGGACTGCAAACAAATTGGCCTCAGTCATCTTCTGCTCCAGCCCAGTCATCCCCGAGCAGTGGGCATGAAATCTCTACATGGCAACCTAACATACCAGTGAGGTCAAATTCTTTTAATAACCCATTAGGAAATAGAGCAAGTCACTCTGCTAATTCTCAGCCTTCCGCTACAACAGTCACTGCAATTACACCAGCTCCTATTCAACAGCCTGTGAAAAGCATGCGTGTATTAAAACCAGAGCTACAGACTGCTTTAGCACCTACACACCCTTCTTGGATACCACAGCCAATTCAAACTGTTCAACCCAGTCCTTTTCCTGAGGGAACTGCTTCAAATGTGACTGTGATGCCACCTGTTGCTGAAGCTCCAAACTATCAAGGACCACCACCACCCTACCCAAAACATCTGCTGCACCAAAACCCATCTGTTCCTCCATATGAATCAATCAGTAAGCCTAGCAAAGAGGATCAGCCAAGCTTGCCCAAGGAAGATGAGAGTGAAAAGAGTTATGAAAATGTTGATAGTGGGGATAAAGAAAAGAAACAGATTACAACTTCACCCATTACTGTTAGGAAAACCAAGAAAGATGAAGAGCGAAGGGAATCTCGTATTCAAAGTTATTCTCCTCAAGCATTTAAATTCTTTATGGAGCAACATGTAGAAAATGTACTCAAATCTCATCAGCAGCGTCTACATCGTAAAAAACAATTAGAGAATGAAATGATGCGGGTAAAACCTTTTAAAATGTCCATTTTTATACTTAAAATCTATTTGCTTGGTGTTTATTTTAAAATATTGTGCTCCAGTATTTTTCTTTTTTTATAGCTAACTACAATATATTATCAGTTACAGAATTTAAAAGTGAATAAATTTAAAGTACTTTTGATTGTAGCATTTTTTTTTTTTTTAGTATTTCAAGATTTACTCAGAATTTCCTCTAATAAAATCTTGTGTAAATTAAGAAAAATATAATTTGCAGTGTACAGTTTAGGTGTACATAATACCTTTATATGAAAATTGGAGGAAAGGTTGTTTTCTAGGTTTTATACATTATCTTACAACATTTAAACATAAATTAGAAATTTGTGGGTCTCAAGCCGGGCACGGTGGCTCACACCTGTAATCCCAGCACTTTGGAAGGCCGAGGCAGACAGATCATGAGGTCAGGAGATTAAGACCATCCTGCCTAATACGGTGAAACCCCGTCTCTACTAAAAGTACAAAAAAAAAATCAGCCGGGCGCGGTGGCAGGCGCCTGTAGTCCCAACTACTTGGGAGGCTGAGTCAGGAGAATGTCGTGAACCTGGGAGGTGGCAGTTGCAGTGAGCCGAGATCGCGCCACTGCACTCCAGCCTGGGCGACAGAGCGAGACTCCGTCTCAAAAAAAAAAAAGAAAGAAATATGTGGGTCTCATCTCCTGATATACTTACGAAACAATTCCTTTTACTTGTAGAAAATTTGGAGTTTATGGGTTTATTCATCACATAGTTCTTATTAGAAAGTGTAAAAGAAATTCCCTTCAGTTATTTCTCCCTTCTCATTTCATTTTTATAATATACTAGAGAAAAATGTGCTGAAATTATTTAGTCAAACTGCACTAAAAGGGAGATCAGAATAAGTAAACACACTTTAATATGTATTGTCATTTCACATAGATCTCTTCACTAGATATTAAGGTAGTGCGATCATCATCTTTTTTTTTTTTTTGAGACGGAGTCTTGCTCTGTTGCCAGGCTGGAGTGCAGTGGCACCATCTCGGCTCACTGCAACTTCCACCTCCCAGGTTCAAGCAGTTCTCCTTCCTCAGCCTCCCCAGTAGCTGGGACTACAGGCACCCGTCACCACACCGATCTAATTTTTTATTTTTAGTAGAAGCGGGGTTTCACCGTGTTGGCCAGGCTGGTCTTGACCTCTTGACCCCATGACCCACCCGCGTCTGCCTCCCAAAGTGCTGGGATTACAGGCGTGAGCCACTGCACCCGTCTATTATTGTTTTTATCATATGCTTACAGTTCAAATATTTGACTCCTAATCTTACATCTGTCACTCACAATCCAAGAGGCTTAACCTTGTGATTAAACTCCTTTATATATATACTTGAGAGAACTATTCTTTTAAAATGATTTTTCCATATCTGATTTTACAGTATTGTTGTTTCCATTTTATATTTTATTAAATGAGAAATACCATAATAATTTCTATGACTTATTCATATTTTAGTTCTTAGGATTTCTTACTAAAGTCTGTCTATGTGTATTTTCTTAGTTTATTTTTCCTTTTTCCTCTTCACTTTCACTAATAGCTGATTTAAACTTTTATGGTGTTGGAAGCTTTGCTGACTTCTGTAGTCTCCATTACTGTGTAGGCAAGTAAGATTTTAAGAGAAACAGTTCTGAACTAAGTCTGGCATGCCACCCTTAAAAGATTTTGCATGCAAATACGAATCCTAACAGAAGCATGTGGTTGCTCTATTTTAGTCTTGTATTTCTAGAATTAGACCCCACTTTTCCAATTGAATTTCTTTTCATTTAAACCCTTTAATTAATTCTTTATTCATTAGCCAAAAATGTTTCTCCCTTCTAAATCCAGGCATTCCATATCTATAATACTTAGAAGTTAGTTTTTGTTTTTAATCTATTTTTTGATCTGTTCATGAGTCACACTGACTATTCTTTGAAGTATTCCTAAATATCCAAAGGATATCTTGTGAACAACCAGGTGGTTCTTTTCGAAGTAGGAGAAACCCTTTGCAATTTGTGTTAGTGGTGGGCCGTGAGTCGCACCTTTACTCTAATGCCCTGAAAAAGAGAAAAGGAAAGATTATTAATGACTATTGTGTATTTATTGAGAATGGGGAAAGGATTGGTGGGTTAGAAAAGGCATTGTTTTGTTGTTCTTTGGTACATTAATTTTTTAGAATAAATGAACCTGGAGTGGAAGAATTTTTTTTTTTCATGAAAGACAAAATAGGAGGAAGAATATTTGAGGCCTAGGCATTCCACCAAGAGAAGCATGTAACAGAGAGATAAATGAAGATGCATGTTAACAGGTGTTTGTTGCACATTGAGAACCTTTTTTTTTTTTGGAGTGCATTGGAGAAGAGTAGAAAGCTTACTCATCTGGTACCCTCTTCTTGCGCTCCACAGCTGAATTTGCATATGTATTCACTTTGAATATCCTTTTAACTACCCCTTAGGCTGCACTTTTGATCATTAATTTCCTTTGAAATGTTTTCTAGATTTCTAACATGCTTTATTAAAATTATGTATTTAACCTTTAAATATATGCCTGAAATTTTTCCAAGCTATTTCTTAATATTCAATATTGAAGAAGATAATTCTTATTTAACATCTAGTTTATTTGCCTAGGTTGGATTATCTCAAGATGCCCAGGATCAAATGAGAAAGATGCTTTGCCAAAAAGAATCTAATTACATCCGTCTTAAAAGGGCTAAAATGGACAAGTCTATGTTTGTGAAGATAAAGACACTAGGAATAGGAGCATTTGGTGAAGTCTGCCTAGCAAGAAAAGTAGATACTAAGGCTTTGTATGCAACAAAAACTCTCCGAAAGAAAGATGTTCTTCTTCGAAATCAAGTTGCTCATGTTAAAGCTGAGAGAGATATCCTGGCTGAAGCTGACAATGAATGGGTAGTTCGTCTGTATTATTCATTCCAAGATAAGGACAATTTATACTTTGTAATGGACTACATTCCTGGGGGTGATATGATGAGCCTATTAATTAGAATGGGCATCTTTCCAGAAAATCTGGCACGATTCTACATAGCAGAACTTACCTGTGCAGTTGAAAGTGTTCATAAAATGGGTTTTATTCATAGAGATATTAAACCTGATAATATTTTGATTGATCGTGATGGTCATATTAAATTGACTGACTTTGGCCTCTGCACTGGCTTCAGATGGACACACGATTCTAAGTACTATCAGAGTGGTAAGTAAACTCGTCAAATTTATTTTAGTTTGTTCATACTAATGTAATTTATTGATGTAGTAAAATATAAGATGATATCATCACTGGATGAGAGCCAGAAGATGTGGGTCAGCTCTTAATTTTGTTGGATAAACTTGGGTGAATCCTTTAGGCACTTAGACTTATAAAATGAAAGAATGTGCTAGACTTGATTATTTCTAAATATCATTAACATTTTTTGAGTCACACCTTTTACATTTTATTTGTAAATATGTCAGACAAATAACTTTTTTTTTTTTTTTTGATGGTGTATTGCTCTGTCACACAGGCTGGAGTACAGTGGCGTGATCTCAGCTCACTGCAACCTCCCCCTCCTGGGTTCAAGTGATTCTCCTGCCTCAGCCTCCCGAGTAGCTGGAATTACAAGCACCCGCCACCATGCCCAGTTAATTTTTGTATTTTTAGTAGAGATGGGGTTTCACCTTGTTGGCCAGGCTGATCTCAAACTCCTGACCTCAGGTGATCCACCTGCCGCAGCCTCCCAAAGTGCTGAGATTACAGGTGTGAGCCCCTGCGCCTGGCCAAATAACATTTTAAAAATAATTTTTTAATGAATCCTCATATCCATCATTCAGTTAAAGAACTAGACTATCAGTACTTTAAAAGCCCCTAAACAATCACTTCCCCTTTTCTCCTCCACAGAGATAATTATTATTTCAGAACTTTATAATTGGTTCTTTACTTTTATCAATAGTTTTATCACAAATGTATATATCTCTAAATAATATATTATTTCATTTTGCCTACTCTTTAACCTTTATTTAAATTTAATCTATATATATTCTTTGTGTTGACTTGTTTGAGGTTCCTCCATGTTATTACATGTAACATTTATTTTCACTGCTATTTAGGATTCCATTACGTGACTATTACACAACTTATATAACCCTAAACACTTTATGATCCTTGATCCTATTTTATCCTCACAATGTCACTGTGAGGCAGGATGAAGAAACTGAGGCCTAGTTAGATGAAGTAACTTGCCCAAGGTCAGACAGAAATCAAGTGTAAGGGCTAGGCTTTGAACGCAGGTTTGTCTGATTTCAGGGCCCATGTTATTTCTACTACACCACACTGCCTCACCAAGATCCCTCCAAGCGCTAATGGAAGTGTAAGTCAATCTAACATTTGTTAAATACTATGTACTAGGTGCTTAACAATATATTCTAATATGCTCACAACAATTCTCTGAGGTAAGTATTATTGGCCTCCTGTGCTTCTGTGAGCACAAGTAGATTGACATTAAAATGGAGAGAACTGAGACAATTGAACCTACTTTAATGTTTGACATAGTGGAATTTAGTGTCTCCCCAGATTTGACTGAATTATTACCTGGAAAGCTTCCTAAAAACATGATTCCTAGGCTCTATTCCCGTCTTTTGATCAAAAGTCTTCACTGGGGCATAGAAATCTTTTTGTTCTTGTTGTTGGTTTTTTGTTTGTTTGTTTTGAGACGGAGTCTTGATCTGTTGCCAGGCTGGAGTGCCATGGTGCAATCTCGGCTTACCGCAACCTCCATCTCCTGGGTTCAAGCGATTCTCCTGCCCCAGCCTCCTGAGTAGCTGGAATTACAGACACACGCCACCACACCCAGCTAATTTTTGTATTTTTAGTAGAGATGGGGTTTCACCATGTTGGCCAGGATAGTCTCAATCTCTTGCCCTCGTGATCCACCCGCCTCGGCCTCCCAAAGGGAAATCATATTTTAATCAAACATCCTAGATAAATATTATATTATATAAATATAATAAATATTAATTTCTTATATTCAAGGTGACTTCATGCCATCTATATGTTAATGACTTCCAAATCTCTCTCTCTAGAAATGGCCTTTCTCCAAAATTCGTAATTTCTCTATCCAACTGCTTCCTGTCTATCTTCATGTGGATTTCAAATAGACCTTGCAAACTTCACATGGCTCAAAAGAACTCTTTTTTTTAAGCATAAATCAGATATTGTTATCTTCTTGCTTCAAACTCTCCAATATCTTTTCCCTTTACTTGAAGTAAAAGGCAGACCATTTCTATTGCTTGTAAAACCCATGTGTATTTGTTCCTGCTGCATTTCTTACAGTTCTTGCCCTATTTCTTACAGTTCTCCCCTCTATCAGCTGCACTGTTCTTCTCTCTGTTGCTGTTATTTCTGTGTGGAATACCTAAACCTGATTTTTAAATGATTGATTCCTTCTTGTATTTTTACAATTTAGCTGATGTCATCTTCTCAATTGGTCTTTCCTAGCCATTCAGTCTTATGTAGCTATCCAGTCATATTTGTCACATCACCCTGTGTTGATTCTCTGTGTAGGGTATGTCACTGTTCCTTATATGTGTAATTGTTTGTTTTGTTTCTTTTCCTACTAGAATGTAACCAGAGCTTTGTCTTATCACTGTCATTTATTGAATGAAACACTGATCTAATTTGTTTGAAAGTTTGTCCAGAGTAGTACCAGGGAGTGGGCTAAATAACAAACTCTTAATCTCCCCATGACTCATATTGTTGTTATTTAACATTGAATAAATTGCTAAATCTTAGACTTTTTTTTTTTTTTAAGTGTAAAATCATTCCTATTGACATCTCAGAAAGCAGGCTGTAATTGGTAATAAACACCATCCATGATTTGGCATACATTGTGTCTTAGTTTGTCACAAGGGAGAATGTTGTTAACCCTAAACCATGATGTCAGAAGATTAAATAGACTTCAGGTTTACTGTTGTCCTTGTTGATTTTATTTATTTATTCTTTTGTTGTGCAGGTGACCATCCACGGCAAGATAGCATGGATTTCAGTAATGAATGGGGGGATCCCTCAAGCTGTCGATGTGGAGACAGATTGAAGCCATTAGAGCGGAGAGCTGCACGCCAGCACCAGCGATGTTTAGCACATTCTTTGGTTGGGACTCCCAATTATATTGCACCTGAAGTATTGCTACGAACAGGTAAAGCACTTCTTTCATATAAAATCTCAGTAGGCCTTTAGGCCAGCCAAAACAACACTAGAATATGCCTTATTTTTCAGGCTTATAATAAAAGTATTAATTTTACAGTATAAATTGGTGATTTAATGTTAATTTTTATTGTATTCTGAGCATTTTTAAAGTGCTTCTAAATAACTAACTTTGGTATCTTATTTTAGGATACACACAGTTGTGTGATTGGTGGAGTGTTGGTGTTATTCTTTTTGAAATGTTGGTGGGACAACCTCCTTTCTTGGCACAAACACCATTAGAAACACAAATGAAGGTAAGGTATGGCATCTATATCAAAAGAATTCTCACAAAGTTGCTACGTCATTGACCTTTATTTATTAGTACTTAGAGCATTTTAGTCTGGAGTTAAAGAATGAGCTTGGGCTGGGTGCAGTGGCTCATACCCATAATGCCAGTGCTTTGGGAGGTTGAGGCAGGAGGATTGCTTGCACCTAGGAGTTCAAGATCAGCCTGACAATGATGTGAGACCCCATCTCTACAAAAAAAAAAAAAAGTTTAATTTAAAAAAGGAAAAGAATGAACTTGTAAGGGTATATGAACTCACTAAAATTGCATGTGTGAACTCCAGTCTCCATGATGCCATATCCCCATAATTTTGTATCCCCCCTCACTCATACACCATACTCATATATCATTCTCAAAAAGGTCTTTAGGCCAGGCACGGTGACTCATGCCTGTAATCCTACCACTTTGGGAGGTGTAGGCGGGTGGATCACCTGAGGTCAGGAGTTTGGGATCAGCCTGGCCAACATGGCAAAACCCTGTCTCTACTAAAAATACAAAAATTAGCTGGGTGTGGTGGCGGACACCTGTAATCCCAGC